CTCCTCTACTGTCTTCCCGCAGTTCAAGATAACCAGATGATGGGTTCAACAAATCGCGAATCATTTCATTATAGATCTAATGGACAAAGAGTGTAAGATCAGCTTTTAATCTTAACAGTAAAGATAAAGCAACAAGTATCAATCACAACTACAGATGTGAATAAAATGTCATAATACTGATTGTTAACAATGGAAATATCACCACAAGGCACTGGTCAATAAGACAATAACTTAAGGAAAGAACATTTTATTTATTTCCCTTCTCAGCCACACCTTCTACCCTTGCTTAATAACTTATTCTCAAAGTTATGTTCATGTAGGGTTCCCTAGTATAAATTTTTGGTCCATCATAAAAAAAAAAATAAACTAGGAAAAAACAAAATGAAGATTTATAATATTATATATTTCATCCTTACTTCCAAGTATGACATTGACACTTTGTATTTCATATCTTCTTTAGTCCTGTCCATTGCATTGAAAAGATCATTCAAGGCACGTGCCATAATACCAGGCTCTCTGTCAGTACCCAACATGGTGAATGTTTTCCCTGCACCTAAACAGGAAAAATCAAAACATTTCACCTTAAATTAAATATCTTAAGAAGTGTTAACCATCAGTTCAGTTTCTAATTCACAGTGATTTAAAAGCTTTTTTTATTACTTTTTATTGTACTATAAAAAAGTTGGTAAATTTACAGAATATCCGTAATTAAAAAACTTTGTGTTCTAAAAAGTCTTAAGTTTTCCTTTTTCCTCTCTTTGTATCCTTTACAGATTCCCAAACATTTCACTTTTAATAAATTTAGGAGATAATGATTGTTGTAATTTTTCTCTTAGCACAGCAAAATCAATCCACTAGCTCAAGCCAAAATTTTTGCTGCTATGTTATCATTAGACCATTTCTAACACTAATAAAGGGGATAAGTTTCTACAGAAACTGTGGTGCTGTGTCAGTGGGAGAGTATAGCAGGTAATTTAGTGTTAACAACTAAGTTGAAAATGTAAATTGGTCACCGTAAAGAGTAAAACAGCTAGTAACTAACACTAGTTAAGTGAATGTTACAGTTTACCTGTTGCACCATAAGCAAACACTGTAGCATTATATCCCGAGATGACGTTTTCAATCAGAGGTTTTGCTACTTCCTTGTATACATCAGCCTAGGAAGAAATATGTCGTTAAATGTTATAAACAAACAAATTATCCTTGTAAGTACTATGGTAGATGTCTCAATATTTAGAGGAAAGAAAAAACTACCAAAGAATGACATTGACTACTACTTGGCTCCCCTCTGGCTTTGTACTTAACTAAAAATGTGTAAATCCACTTTGTCTTTGGACTCCCAGAAAGATGGTTTGAAATAATTCTGTTAATTAGAGCTGATCATGAAACTCTAACTAACCTGATTTGAATTTTGGCCAAATGCACAATCAAAAATATACTGCTTTTCTCTTGATCTGTTTGCTCTGAGAATGTCATCTTGGTCTTCATTGGGATCTTTCAACACCACCAGCTATATCAGTACAGAAAAAGAAAAACGTCATTAAAATTTGGAAAGCTTGGTAACCTATCTGACCACCTAACTCGAAGAAAAACAATCTTGCAATTTGCACTGATCATAGTCAAAAGGTAAAAATCACACATAAGTTTCTAACTGTAATACTTATAACAACAATACTAATAATGAAATGATAATAAAAATAAAAGCAAGAAGAGGCCAAAGAAGATGGCCTTCACTTGGGCGTCCAAAATGGAAATGGACAGATAGTCAAGAATGTTTTTTTTTGACCCTAGCATACTGGCCATGACAGTATTTGCCATATCTGTGACCGTGTCAAGCTTTTGATTAAAATACTTTCCATAACGGCTTTGACCATTGCAGAAGGACATAAGATTGTGTATTGTTTGCTTTTAAGGGCCATAAAAAAATTATTCTTGTCCTTAGAGGCAACTCTGTTTTTTAGATTGTTGGAGCCTGACAATCAGCCCCTATGCAGAGATGCCATGGAAGACACTCAATGACCACAGGATAATTTTACACTTGGGTTCTTCAACAAGAAGCCAAAGTAATAATATTTATAACAACAGTAATAATAGCTACATGTCCTGGGAAATAATGATACCACTGATCAGCTTACATTTTGAAACACAAGTAAATAATAATAACAATAATAATAATAATAATAATAATAATAACAATAGTAATGATAATAATAACAAAAGCTATGATAATGTTGAGGACATTTTAATAGTTCAACCTTTCTTTCTTCCTTCCTTTTAGCTTAAGATATAGTAGGCAGAGTACAAAACCTTTCATTGTAACTCACACATACTTTAAGTGTGTAGGACATATATGTTATCGATTGAACAAAACTGTTAAGTAGCACCCAAAGAAAAAACGCGCTTTCAATTCAACTCTTCTTCAATGCTTTTCTAACACAAACGTGACTTTCACAATAACAGAATGGTTTAATTGTGATGAGAAATCACTAGTGTTGTCACAGCTCAATTCAAGAAACACGTACGTTTTCGTCCAAAACATGCACAATTTCTGTGCAGCTTGAATCTTCGACTTCGGCGCCATTCAAAGGCCTTACTCTAACAGCAACCTTTGAAAACAAAAAAAACATACAGAAGTTGAGTAAGCTACCGACAAGAACATCTGCAAAAGTTTTGATAAGATCGACCCCGGCAAAGGCAAAGGCTTTCTACTTTCACATAGATAAAGCTGAACGTATTGCACATTGCATTAAAAGCTGTAAGACACCAAAACAGCGTATTTTCGCACGCGAGCAAACATTTACTTACCATCAAGTTATGAGAGCTTTCCTTCCCTTTTTCCTTATCTGTCATGGTGACTTTTCAGGTTACTTAATAGATATTTGACGTAAAATATGAAGAGCGAGACAGCTGCAAGCAAGCCACAACCGCTCGAACGTTCCCACCGTCTTTGAAACAGTTCAACATCCTGGAATTCGATTCTTTTTTCGCCAAGTTCACGAGCTTTCGAACAAGATAAGTTAATCTATTACATTTTGAACGAGATCGGAGCGAACAAAGCACGCTTGTGTCACAAGGTTCACTTCGCAAATTACTTCCCTCTTCACCTTTGTTGTCTGAAATCCACTTCACAGGTTCGCCTCCGCGCATCAATCAACCAATCACAGGGTAGATATTTGTTATGTATTGACCGCTTTGTGACATCATGTATTGACGCGTTGTCAAGGTGACAAAGCAATAACAACATTATATGCGACCAGATGGGATCAATCAAGAATTGTGGATAAGAGGGAAAGAGTTTTCTCGGGAAGAACATTTATTTATTGAAAGAAACCAGCCGGTACGCGAATCCTTTAGGTAGAAAGGACCTGAAAAATACATATGAACCTCTAGAACATACGCAGTTCATTCGTCGAGTAGTATTGCAATTTGAGTGCTAAGCTTTCTGCTTACCAAACTTGAGCTTTTTCATTAACCGCAAAATTTTATCTTATGACGCGTAAGACAATAAAGCTGCAAAAACAACGATGAAATAATTATTATGATAATTTTTAAAACGTTTTCCAAGAAACCGGGAAATTGCCTTTCTGCGATTAGATTTCAAAGAAAAAAAAGGAAAAGTGCCAGTGATATTACTTATCGCTGTGACTATAATCGAGACATAATTTTAACGTTTCCTTTTATCGATGACTTTTACAATCTCTTTATGAATGTGTAATGTCTGTTTCTTGGGCGGCCGATTTGCTCCCTTAGGCGTCATTTACTTCCTCGTTTTACGCTGTAGGAGGTAAACCAAATGAGTTCTCCAAGCGGAAATCATTTTTTTTTTGATAAGCATCGTAATCAACTGACGTTTACGTAGATGGTCTTTCAGACAAATGATGGCGTGTTTTCAACACTATCTCATCCTTTTATAAACATCATTGCTCACAATTTCAATGTGGGACGATGATGTTTTTTATTTGTTCAGTCTATCACCTGACAGGTTACTCTGCGATACTAAGAGCGATAGAAAATTCCGTGCAATATTACTTACGGCACCCGGTTGGCGGTACATGTTGAGGCATGACTAGAGCACTCAACAGAGAGTTGTCACAAAAGGGCAATATTTAGCACATTGTTGTCAGCGAGAAAAAGTCGAGTCAGTTCAACTCAGGCATCGTCTCAGTCATACTCATTCATTCGTAAACTTAACTATTCGTAGGATTGATTCTAACTCCAATTATCTACTTCCCTAAATATGCACAAGCCCAAAATGAACCACGGTCTTGGAAAGTGGAATTATCTGTCGGAGCCATCAGAGTATTACGACATAACATGATGTTCAATTAAAAAAGGAAAATCATTTCCAAAATTGGACAGTGGTGTCAACATGCAGATAATAAATTCCAACATCAGATACTTGTGTCCAAAACTGGAAACTAGTGTCCAGAATCGGACACAAGTGTCCAAGTGTCTAAATAAGACATAAGTGTCCAAATAGGACACTAGTGGCCGAAATCAGACGCTAGTGTCAAAAAAAGGACACTGATGTTTAACATCAAACAGTACTGTCTACGATAAGACGCGCGTCTAAAATCAGGAACTAGCGTCCTAATTTAGTCACCAGTGTCCAAAATAGGACACTAGTGCCCAAAATCGGATTACAAACTCTAAGGAGGGTTCCTAAGCAAAACTCAGAGAGGCCACTGCCCAATCAGGTTGAGGGGCTTTGGAAAAGAGATGTAGACACATGACATTTTATGGATTCAGATGTTTCGGGGCGGTATTGGGATTGAGACTTAAGCTACGTTCACACAGTACCAGACAAATTTTCGACCGGTGGAAAATTCGTGTGTTTGGGCGTTTCGTTCACATGGAACTACGCCAAACGTACGAAAATTTGGACGCCCAAGCGTTCAAAACTTTGAAGACCAAAATCGAGGATGAATTTTTGGGCGATGCAGTCAATAATTTGAGCGCCACAGTGTAAACACCTTAAACGTCAAAATTTTTGTACGGCGAAGGCGTGGCTGCATGGATGCGTGGTAACTAGGCTAAAGAACATGTTTACAATTTTATACGGGTTAAGAAGCGTTCTGCGCATCAGGATAGAGTAAAACAATCAAGAATGCCGCAAAATTTATCCTGTTATCAGTTCCATCTGAACAGAACGAAACTTTCACACGGTTTCGTGTATACAGAATGTCTGGTCGAATCTTTCGGCTGGTCGAAAATTCGTCCGGTACCGTGTGAGCGTAGCCTTAAGCTCTTTCTTGTATTTTTTTATAGTCAGGTATTGAGTTTTCAAGGTTTTCCGGCTACCTTGTCCCGGAGAGTTTGATCGAGGTATCGATTCTTTCGACACTGCATGTGACCTCCCTATGATTTGTTTCCTCCTGAACCTACGTTATTCTGGCCACCAAAGGCCAAATGCGCAATCGTACGCAGCGGATCATACAGTCACTGCGGTGTTACCAAAGTAACTTTACAAGTTGTGTGTGAGTGCCATGAAAGTAAAGGGAATTACGATCAGTTTCGATTTAAATATCCTTAGTAACTTTGTAACCGACCATACAATTAACACGTGTGACCACTAAAAATGACGTAACAACATCCCTATCAATGTTGAGGAAAAAAGTTAGTACCGTACTCGATATAGGTAAATCCCTAGTAATGATCGACACCTGGGGCAGAATCTCTCTCCTGGTGCGTAAGGTAATGTTCCACCAAACTAACAGCGAGGAAATACATACATGTTTCAGATTGGCTGTATTTGATTTTAGCGTATTAACTTAAAGTTTACTAATGCGAATTCGGTACGCCTACAAACAGAAAACTGACATCCGAATAGTTCGCACAAAGAACTTAAGCTTACAGTGGTAACTTCCATCCCTGCACTTCATAAACCTTAAATTCATAGACTTAAAAATGTGCTCAGAATGTGCTCCAAGTTTACCCATTTCTCGCCTTACGTATTCGACTGCTCTTTGTCAACAAAATAACTTTTATTTTGGAAGAAATTTAACTGGCAATGTTCACTGGTTGGGAATCAATCCAATTTCGCAATCAATCTCGAAATTAATTCGCAGTGGAAGGAATCCCTGGAAACCAGCGTCTGAGAGAGCTTGAATTCCAGATTGACCGATATTGTTTCCCCCCATATCTAAATGAAGCAATGTGCTATTCGTTTCTCGAACCTCTGCAAAAGCCCTTGCACCAGAGGATTGAATACCGTTTCCTACGATGGACATCTTGATCAGGGTTTTATTTTCTTTAAGGGCTTGGCAGAGTGATTTAGCTCCAGCATCTTCAATAGCATTGCTTGACAAGTTAAGAGCAGTAAGTCCTTTGTTAATTTTAAGGGCCTCGGCAATTGACTGAGTACCTTCAGGACCAATATCATTCACTGAGAGATCAAGATGAGTCAGAGCTGAGTTGACTCCAAGACCACCTGAAAGAAGCTGAGCACCTCGAGCTCTGAGCGCGTTCTGCGACAGATCCAAAAAGACCAGTACTGTGTTGACTTTAAGCGCCTCAGAAAGAACATGGGCTCCTGGCGCTCTGATGTCGTTCCTTGACAGTTCCAAACGTTTCAAAGTTTTGTTGACTTTGAGGCTCTCAGCGATTAATCGGGCACCACCTACACTGACTTTATTTCCCTTAAAACCAAGTGATATCAGGGATGAATCCACTCTCAGAAATTCAGCGAAAGAACGGATGCTCTTCTTGGTTATCATCTTCATGTCTGATAAGTTCAGATCGGTTAGGGTGGTACCATCCCTGACAGTTTTAAGGAGCGACTGAACACCATCATCATCTAGGCTACTTCCTGACAGATCTAACTTAGCGAGCGTATTGTTTATTTTGAGAGTTTCACAAAGAGACAAAACCCCAGGGTTACCAAAACTTAAGTTTCCTGCCAGGACCAGGACCTCCAACGAGGTATTGCGGCGTAGACTCTCTGCCAGAAATATGGCTCCATGGTCAGTGATTCCATTTGCCCCCAGGTTTAAACAAACCAGGGCTTTATTGGCCTTAAAGTACTCCGCCAAAATCTCGGCGCTATCATCTTCCAACATATTGCCAGCAAGGCTTAAATCACGGAGGGTGGAGTTTACCATAAGCGCGTCTACCAATTGCTGGACCCCAACTGCACTGGTAAGTTTGTTTGTTAGGTTGACTTGTACCAGGGTTTGGTTGACTTGAAGAGTCCTGGCCAAAGAAACCGCGCACATGTCTGTAGGATACAATGGCCATGAGATACTGAATTCCTTCAGGGTGGTGTTTACTCTAAGCGCCTCAGCAAGCAATGGAATGTCACATTTGTGGTCAATAATTAGCAATGTGTGGCGCAGCAGTTTGGTGCCAAACAAGTGCAACAACTTAATTGAAAGAGTAGAACTTACTCCTATACAGTCCCTAATGCATTTTAAGGCAAAATACACAAAGTAATTTGCAAGAAGATCTGAGCTTTGATTAATGTTTGTGACTATGATGTTCATGAAACATGTTGCTCTCTCTTCACTCTTGAGGCTGATAATTCCAAATGCAAAGAAATGAGCGAGCTCATACTTAACGTATGACCCATCTTTGGGAAATAGCATTTCGGGGCTTATTTCACCACTTAAAATCTGGCTCGCTAAAAAGTAACCTGCGAAGAAATCTTGAAAACTTCTGTGAATAAATGCATAATCTAGGGACGGGCGTCTTTTGCTGCGATTGGTGAGGACTGACAGGAATTCAAACACCGGTATTTCACTTGCTGAACCTCCGAGTTCACTTCTTTTGAAGTACATCTGATCTTCTGTCAAACCTTTCCAGGCTAGTCGTCCCAGTCGCTCTACGTCATCTTTGTGGAAGTCAATCAAGTCTCCTTCTACGTCAGAGAATCCTTTCTTTCGCCGAAATCGCCTTAAAACGCAACTAGTTATTTCAAGATAGAGCTCAGTTTTGCTTGAGGGTAGATCGCCTTCATAGTCTTCACACAAGAGACATAGCAGAGCTGTCGTCAAAGGATGCATTGTCAGTTCCAAAAGTTCTTTCTTGCGTCTTGTCTCGCTTAAGAGCCTCTGACCTAATGCTTCCCGACCATCAAAGTAACGAG